GTGGCTGACATGTCCCAGTCACGGGTGCTGTGGGATGCAGCTGCAAGAGTTTGACTTTGGTCAGTGCTGGTGATTTCTGTAGAAGTTTTCTTGTAGGAAGAGGAAGACACAGTGGTGATTTCCATTGCAGTGGGTGTGTGAGAGGAGACTAAGGATGGAGCGAGGCCAGGAGGGATCGTTGGAGAAGAGGAGAAAAAGCCTATAGTGGATTGTTCAGGGGAGGAGCTGGTGGTGGCATCAGAGAGGCCAGCAGTGGTGTCTCTGTTTGAACTGGGCTCCTCAGAAGTGCTGGTGTGGGTCAGTGCTGTGGTCCAGGAGGAAGCTGTCTGGGTGACCATCTCTGTTGTCTTTGCAGAACTGTGTGCAGGTGTGGACCTTCTGTTGTCTCCAGTGTTGGAGGGGGTACTCATCTCAGCTGTGGTCTCAGGAAGTTCTGAGGCAGCAGAGATAGTAAACTGTGTTTGGGGAATAGAACTGGAGTCTTGCACAGTAGACACTGCTGTGTCTGAAGATGTTGGACTTGTGTGGAGGCCTGAGGAGACCGTGGAGGTAGCTGAGATGTCCTGTCCACTTCTAGTCTGACTTAGAGTCAAGGTGCTCACAGGTGTTGATCCTGTGTCCATCCCCTGCGTGGTGTCATGGAGAGTGGAGATGAGGAGTGGGGTGATGGATGCAGGGGAGGAAGGAGCAGTAGAAGGCGAGGTTGTGGGTCCAGCAGGTGTGGAGCTCAGCTGTGGCCCAGGTAGAGTTTGTGTGGAGGACAGGACTTCAGGGGATGAGGTTGATTGCAGGGTGCTGTGTGAGTGGGGCAGGGTCTGGGATGCAGTGGGGAGGGCGCTGGTGGCTGGGGCCATGGCTGACGTGTCCCATGCACTGGTGCTCTGGGAGCCAGATTCAGAAACCCGTGTGTGGACAGTGGTGGTCCTTTCTGCAGAAACTGTCTCATAATGGGAGGAGGATAGGCTAGAGATCTCTACTCTGGTTGTTCTGTGAGCCAAGTCTGTGGATGGAGTGAAGCTGGGACGGAGCGTTAGAGCAGAGGAGAAGTCTGCACTGGAGAGCTCAGGGAAGTAGCTTGTGGTGGCATCAGAGAGGTCTGCAGTGGTGTCCCGGGCTGAGGTGGGCTCCTCTGTGGTGCTGGTGTGGGCCAGTGCCTGGGTTCGGGAGGAAGCTGTCTGTGTGTCCATCTCTGTTGTCTTTGCAGAACTTTGTCCAAGTGTGGAACCTCTGGTGTCTCCAGTGGTAGAGGGGCTCCTCATCTTAGCTGTGGTCTCAGGAGGTTCTGAGATAGCAGAGATAATAAACTGAGTTTGGGAAATAAAACTGGAATCTTGCGCAGTGGACACTGCTGTTTCTGAAGATGTTGGACTTGTGTGGAGGCCTGAGGAAACCCTGGAGGTAGTTGACGTGTCCTGTCCACTTGAAGTCTGACTTGGAATCAAGGTGCTCACAGGTGTTGATACTGTGTCCATCAGCTGTGTATTTTCCTGGAGAGTGAAGGTGAGGAGTGGGGTGGTGGTCACAGGGGAGGAAGGAGCAGGAGAAGGTGCTGCTTTGGTTCCAGTAGGTGTGGAGCTCAGATATGGCACTACTGGAGTTTGTGTGGAGGACAGGACTTCAGGGGATGAGCTTGATTGCAGGGTGCTGTGTGAGTGGGGCAGGGTCTGGGATGCAGTGGGGAGGGTGCTGGGGGCTGGAGCCATGGCTGATGTGTCCCAAGCTTCTGTGCTCTGCGATGCAACTGCAGGATTCCGTGTGTAGACAGTGGTGGTGATTTCAGCAGAAGCTGTCTTGTAAGGGGAGGAAGACATGCTGGTGATCTCTACTCCAGTGGTTCTGTGAGCTGAGACTGTAGATGGAGCGAGGTTGGGAGGTTGCGTTGGAGCAGAGGTGAAGTCTGTACTGGATTGTTCAGGGGAGGAGCTGGTGGTGGCATTAGAGGTGCCAGCAGTGGTGTCCAGAGCTGATCTGGTGTGCCCAGGCTTGCTGCTGTAGGTTAGTGCTGTGGTCCGGGATGAAGCTGTCTGCGTGAACTTCTCTGTGGTCTGAGCTGATGTTGGCGTTTTTGTGGCAATTGTGGAGTCTCCTGTGCTGATGTGCATTCTCAACTCAGTTGTGGTCTCACGAAGGTCTGAGGTGGTTACATTAGATGGTAAGGTTTGGGGGACAGAAGTGGAATCTTCCACATTGGACACTGATGTGACTAAAGATGTTAGATTTGTGTGGAATCCTGTGGAGATCCAGGAAGTGACTGAGGTATCTTGTCCACCTGTAGTGTGACTTGGAGTCAAGGTGCTCACAGGTGTTGATCCTGTGTCCATCTGCTCAGTGGTGTCATGGAGAGTGGAGGTGAGCAGTGGGGTGATGGATGCAGGGGAAGAAGGAGCAGGAGAAGGTGAGGCTGTGGAACTTACAGGTTTTATGGCCCCTGTGGAGCTCAGATGTGGTCCAGCAGGAGTTGGTGTGGAGGACAGGACTTCAGGGGATGAGGTTGATTGCAGGGTGTTGTGTGAGTGGGGCAGGGTCTGGGATGCAGTGGGGAGGGCGCTGGGTGCTGATGCCATAGCTGTTGTGTCCCAGGCTTGGGTGCTATGGGATTCAGAGACAAGACTTTGATCTTGGACAGTGGTGGTGATTTCTGTAGGAGCTTTCCTGTGTGAAGAGGAGGTGATCAGACTGTTTTCCCTTCCAGTTTGTGTGTGAGCAGAGATTATGGATGACGGGAGACTGTGAAAGAGCATTGGAGGAGAGGAGAAGCCTGCACTAGAGAGCTCTTGGGATGAGCTGCTGGTGGCATCAGAGAGGCCTGCAGTGGTGTCCAGGGCTGAGCCGGGCTCCTCTGGTGCACTGGTGTAGGTCAGTGCCTGGGTCCGGGAGGAAACTGTCTGTGTGTCCATCTCTGTTGTCTTTGCAGAACTCTGTCCAGGCGTGGAATCTGTGGTGTCCCCAGTGGTGGAGGGGGGCCTCATCTCAGCTGTGGTCTCAGGAAATTCTGTGGTAGCAGAGATAGTAAACTGTGTCTGGGGGATTGACCTGGAATCTCCTACAGTGGACACTGCTGTGTCTGAAGGTGTTGGACTTGTGTGGATGCCTGAGGAGACCCAGGAGGTACCTGAGGTGTCCTGTCCACTTGTAGTCTGACTTGGAGTCAAGGTGCTCACAGGTGTTGATCCTGTGTGCATCTTCTGCGTGGTGTCGTGGAGAGTGGAGGTGAGGAGTAGGTTGATGGACGCAGGGGAGGAAGGAACAGGAGATGGTGAAGATGTGGGGCCTGCAGTCGTGAGGGCCCCTGTGGAGTTCAGATGTGCCACAGGTGGAATTTGTGTGGAGGACAGGAGTTCAGGGGATGATTGCAGGGTGCTGTGTGAGTGGGGTGGGTTCTCAGATGCAGGGGGGAGGCTGCTGGTAGCTGGGGCTGTAGCTGAGGTGTCCCAGTCACCTGTGTTATGGGATGCAGATGCAGGAGTTTGTGTGTGGATAGTGGTGGTGATATCTGTAGAAGCTGTCTTGTAAGGGGAGGAGGAAATGTTGGTATTCTCCACTCCAGTGGTTGTGTGAGCCGAGACTGTGGACAAAGTGAGGCTGGAAGGCATCATTGGATCAGAGAAGTCTGCACTGGAGAATTGTGGGGAGAAGTTGGTGGTGGCATCAGAGAGGTCAGCAGTGGTGTCCAGTGCTGACCTGGGCTGTGGATAAGTGCTGCTGTGGGTCAGTTTTAAGGTCGATGAGGAAGTTGTCTGTGTGACTATGTCTCTTGTCTGAGAGGATGTTGGTATTTGTGTGGAAACTGTGATGACAGCAGTGGTGGAGTTCATTCTTTCCTCAGCTGTGGTCACAGGAATTGCTGAGGAGGCCAAGACAGTAAAGTATGTTTTGGGGACAGAACTGGAGCCTTCTAGAGTGGACACTGCTGTGTCTGAAGATGTTGGACTTGTGTGGAGGCCTGAGGAGACCCAGTAGGTGGCTGTTGTGTCCTGTCTACTTGTTGTCTGACTTGGAATCAAGGTGCTCACAGGTGTTGACCCTGTGTGCATCCCCTGTGTGGTGTCTTGGAGAGTGGAGGTGAGGAGTGGGGTGATATATGCAGGGGAGGAAGGAGCAGGAGAAGGTGAGGCTGTGGAGCTGGCAGGTGTCAGGGCCCCTGTGGAGCTCAGATGTGGCCCAGCTGGAGTTGGTGTGGAGGACAGGACTTCAGGGGATGGGGTTGATTGCAGGATGGTGTGTGAGGGGGGCAGGGTGTGGGATGCAGTGGGGAGGGTGCTGGTGGCTGAGGCGGTGGCTGACCTGTCCCAGGCACTTGTGCTGTGGGATGCAGCTGCCTGAGTTTGATTTTGGTCAGTGCTGGTGATTTCTGCAGAAGTTTTCTTGTAAGAAGTGGAAGACATGGTGGTGATCTCCATCCCAGTGCGTGTGTGAGAGGAGACTGTAGACTGAGTGAGGCTGGTAGGGAGTGTTGGAGTAGAGATGAATTGTGCAATGGAGAGCTCGGGGGAGGAGTTTGTGGCAGGTGTTGGGCCTGAGTGCCCAGAGAGTGTTTGGTTCCCCCTTGTGTTGCTGTACGTGGAGTAGGTTGAGGTGGCGAGGCCCGGTGTGGGTGTTGGATCCATAGAAGTGACATTTGGATGGCTGGTCCCAGGGGACGTCTCGGAGGTCACGTGAGGAGGGACGGTGGTGTTTTCCAGGGTGGGACTGGACGCCTCTGATACTCCGCCGTGGGTGGTTGTGGCCTCCCAGGAGGAGGCTGTTGAGGAGACCAGCTCTGTTGTCTGAGAATTAGTCAATGCCAGTGTGGACACTTGGCCATGCCTGTTGGGTGAAGTACTTAGGTTTTTATGAGCTCTGCTGCTCCATTGTGGAGTCTCTGAACGGGTGCTGAGCCCCTGTGTGGTGTTTGGGGTGGCCGAGGCACTTTGTCCTTGTGAGGTGGAAGCAATAGGGAAAGGCGATAATAACTACCGTGGTTCAAGCACTGAAGTTGAGTTGCGACACAAAATTACATTAGGTTGGTTTGCGTACCTGGGGCATAGGGAGGGGTTACAGTAGCCCAGTTATAGAGCATATCTGCTGCGAATGTCCTGAGGTAGGACCTACAAATGAATTAAACCTGAGCTCTAAACCATGGCTGGGCCACTTATAGGCAGAGGGTGATCCAGCGTTTTTATTCACGGCTGTGTTCCTCAGTTTCCTTATGGGTAAAATGAGGATGATGACACTGTGTCTTACAGTCAGTGAACATGTGCATAATATTTAGAACTTGACAGAGTAACCTCTACATGAATGGCAGATAATTGTAAGAAAATTAAGACTAACATTACATATGTAATATATAATATATAAAACATTATATTATTACTATATAGTCTATAAATACTGTAATATTTATATACTGTAGTATAATATAGTATATACTATATATACATTATACATATTATACAATATATCTATATTGTATATATATATATGCTCTATATACTCTATGTGTACTATATACTAAATATACTATATATACTATATATGCTATATAGGCATATATAGCATATATAGACATATATAGCATATATACTATATAGTATATATTATAGTATATACTGTATTATATACCAGGTAGTATATATAATTATAAAATACATATTTATACTCTATAGACTCTATAATATGTATACTATAATATATACTATAGTATATGATATGTAGAGTATATATAGTGTATATATACTATAACATATACTTATATACTATATACTATATTATGTATATATTATATGTTAATATATTAGTATAAATATATGTGACATATACTATACCATATATAATATAAACAATATATGTATATATGCTCTACTGTATAGAACATCATACATATTAATATACAGTCTATATAGTGTACATAGTATATATATGCATACTATATAATTGCTTTGGAGTCTTAAGAATTTTCACATACTACACATCACTTGCTATCTTTTTTTTTTTTTTTTGATCATGGACCTGAACTCTGGGCCTGGGTGTTGTCCCTCAGCTCTTCAGCTCAAGGCTAGCGCTCTACCACTTGAGCCACAGAGCCAAAGGCTTTTTTCTGCTTCTGTGGTGCTGAGGAATTGAACCCAGGGCCTCATGCATGCAAGGCAAGCACTCTACCACTGAGCTACCTTCCCAGCCCTTGCCATCCTTTTTTGAGTCACCTCTGTTTAATTGTTTCTTTCCACATCATCTCTCAGGGCTAATTTTATCTGGCATGATTTAAGGTGAGAAATCACAGGGGAGAAATATTTCTAACATAACCCTTATGAATCTCTGTGAATTCATACCAACATGAAATGTATACAGAAACCCTGTGATTTTTACAGGAGGGCATTGCTTTTGTGTCTAATCCACAATTTTACCTGTAATACTGGTTAAATTAGATGCCCAAATTTCTACTGAGTCCTAAGTACTTTGAAAAGAAACAAAACAAAACAAAACAGAACAGGAAGAAGTTTGTGGATGAGGTAGGCCACTCTAAGACCGCAGTTGGGAGATGAGATGAGAGAATTGCTGAAGGTAGATTGGAGTGGCTGAATTTTTTGTGAAATTTGTCTAAGATTTGCGTTTTAGTCATAGTCCCCACCTTCTCCAAGAAAGACCACACACACACACACACACACACACACACACACACACACACACACACACATCTGTAACCATCTATGTAATGGGTTAGCATCTTCCAAGTCTATCCGAGTATCTGTCATATCTTTGGAGAACAAAGTGGTAGACCAGTTGTCCCCACCAAGTGATGTATGGTTCCCTGTCATCCACACAAGTATATTTACTGCACCCCTCCTCCATGCAAGATATAACAAGATGCAACATCTGCAGAGCTGGCTTGCATGACTGGTTGTTAGAAATGCTACTGCTACCCCTAGTGGGTGGAGGTGCCAGGATTCTGTTCAGCCTCAACCTCAGACAAAGAATTATGAGGACCCATATGAATGGCCATTTGTACTGGGATGGAAAAAATCCTACTGTCGTGAGATTGGTCCAGGCTAAAGCCCTGGGACTGTTGCCATGGAGATAAGCAGGTGGGGAGATAATTTAATGGGGGTTGCAACAGCATCAAAAAAGTGAGGAAAGTGCAGAATGTGGTGGTGTATGCCTGTAATCCCAGCTACCTAGGAAATGGAGAAAGGGAAATTGTGGCCTGAGGAAGTCCTGGTTTTCCTGTCTGGGAAACATGCTAAAGCTAAATGGGACTGGGGCATGGTTTAAGGGTAAGAATGCTTTTTTAGCAAGTACAAGGTCCCAAGTTCAATCCCTGGTACCTTAAAAAATACAAATGCTGGACACCAGTGGCTCACTCCTGTAATCCTAGCTACTCAGGAAGCTGAGATCTGAGGATTGAGGTTTGAAGCCAGCCTAGGCAGGAAAATCTGTGAGACTCTTATCCTCAGTAAACTAAAAAAAAAAGCCAGAAGTGGTGCTGTGGCTCAAGGGGTAGAGCACTCACCTTGAGCAAAAGAAGCTCATGACAGTGCCCAGGCCCAGAGTTCAAGTCCCAGGACCAGCAAAACAAAAAAAAAAACAT